CAGAGAGGATGCAAACGACAACAAGCTGCCTTTTTTGGACCGTTTGGTTCAGATGGAGAGAGAGGACAGCCTCAACATTGAAGTTTACAGAAAATCAACCCACACAGACCAGTATCTTCTGTTTGACTCCCACCATCCACTGGAACACAAACTCTCTGTCATAAGGACTTTACAACATCGGGCCGAATGCGTCCCCACGAAGACAGAAGGGAAGGAAAAGGAACTGAAACACATTCAAGAAGCTCTTCAAACATGTGGATATCCTAACTGGGCTTTTGTCAAGTCAGCGAGGAGATCTACAAAACAAACTAATAAACAGAAAAAGGAGAACAACAGACGTAAAAACATTGTCATCCCTTATGTTGCTGGAGTATCAGAGAAATTCAGAAGGATCTTCAACATACACAAGATCCCAGTACATTTCAAACCCAGCAGGACTCTCAGACAGAGGCTGGTCCACCCTAAGGACAAAACACCCATACACAAACAGAGTGGTGTAGTGTATGCGGTCCAGTGCAGCGAGGACTGTCCAGGCCTCTGCATTGGAGAAACTAAACAGCCTCTTCACAGACGCATGACTCAACACAGGAGAGCCACCTCCTCTGGACAAAATTCCGCAGTTCACCTCCACCTCACAGATAAGGGACACTCTTTTGAGGAACAAAATGTACACATTTTGGACCGAGAACACAGATGTTTTGAGAGGGGGGTGAAGGAAGCAATTTATGTAAAAAGAGAAAAGTCGTCTCTTAACAGAGGAGGAGGCCTCAGATTTCCACTTTCAAAAACATATAATGCAACTTTAAAACAGATTCCCAGTCGGTTTTCACACCTGATGGGAACAGAGGGGTCCTCGACTGTGAATTAGAGGAACAAAGACCTACTGTTTAGGTTTTTAGGTGTGAACTGCCAATCTACATATATGTGTGTGTGTGTGTGTGTGTGTGTGTGTCTTATGTGTGTGTGTGTGTTATCTCACTCAGCCTTATAACCTGTATCTCTCACCCTCTGCTCTTTGAATTGAGAAAGCTCCTCGGATGATGAGCGAAACGTCTTCTGTTACAAATAAAGTCCAGTTGTTTTTGTATTGAACGCTTTTTGAATTCATCATGTCCTGGATGACTGAGAATCTTCACCAGCGCACAAAGCAATATACAAAATGAGGTAAATCAGAATATAGACATAAAACCGATGCAGATAATGATGACTAACCAGTGTGGAGCATACAGGTTCAAAACACAGATCATCTGGTGTTGGAAGCTACTGAATAGTAGTGGGTTTTTAAACGGGGCTTGAATACCGAGAGGAAGGGGGCCTGTCTGACAAGCAGAGGCAACTCGTTCCAAAGTCTTGGTCCTGCTACAGAGAAGGCCCTGTCACCTCTGCGCTTAAGACAAGTTCCTGGAACTGTGAGGAGCAACTGGTCCGCTGACCTCAGGGAACGTGGTGGGACATACGGCTGTAGCAGATCAGAGAGATAGGGGGGCGCAAAACTGTTCAGTGATTTGTAGACATACAGGAGTATTTTGAACTGGATTCGAAGGTGAACCGGTAGCCAGTGCAGTGAGGCCAAAACTGTAGTAATTTTGCCTGTACTGGTTAAAAATCAGGCTGCTGCAATCTGGACCAGTTGTAGTCGTGCAATGGAGGTCTGACTGATACCAAACAGAAGTGAATTGCAGTAATCAAGACTAGATGTAATGAATGCTTGTATTACTGTCTCCAGGTTATTTTTGGATAATATGGGCTTCAGTTTAGACAGCCACCTCAGTTGGAAGAAACATGATTTAACAGTCATGTTTACATGATTAAGTTTCAGGGAAGGGTCCATTATCACGCCCAGATTAGTGACACTTTGTTTTTCTGACAGGGTTAGAATGGAAAGGTCAATGCAGTGGTTTGTGATCGTGTCGTTGGGAGGGAACAACATGACTTCAGACTTCTTTTCATTGAAACTTAAGAAATTTAAAGCCATCCAGTCCCTGATGTAAGCCAGGCAGTCGAGCAGAGGTTGAATAGAACATGTAGCATTGTGTCTTAGGGGGAAGTAAATTTGGCAGTCATCGGCGTAGAAGTGAAAGGGTATGTTGTTTCTGGAAAATAGCACTAAGTGGCAGCAGGTATAAAGAAAATAGGAGGGGACCCAGGATGGACCCCTGCGGAACCCCCCATTTAAGCTCTGCCGCTGCAGAACTAAAATCCTTGATGGAAACACAAAAGGATCTGTCAGCAAGGTACAATCTGAACCAACTGAGGGCTGACCCTGTGATGCCCACCCACTGCTCCAACCTAGCAATGAGGATCTCATGGTCGATGGTGTCAAAGGCGGCTGTAAGGTCCAATAGGACAAGCAGCACAGAATCATCAGTATCTGTTGTTAAGAAAATGTCATTAAAAACCTTCATTAGGGCAGTTTCAGTGCTATGGGGAGGTTTAAAGCCAGATTGGAATAGCTCTAGAGTCTAAGATAGCGTGACCCTCCAGGAAGCCCTTCAACTGGGACTCAACTATTTTCTCCAGTAGTTTAGAAACAAATGGGAGTCTGGAGACAGGCTGGTAGTTGGATACGACTGAGGGGTCAAGGTTTGTTTATTTTCAGGAGAGGCTGGACAGCAGCATGTGTAAAGGTTTTTAGCACCACGCCAGTGGATAAACTGCTATTTACAATAGCAAGAATGGACGGACCTAGAGTAGGGAAAACCTCCTTTAGTAGCCGAGGGGGAACCACATCAAAGGGGGAGCCAGAAGGTTTCAAGCTGCACATGACCTGCTCTAGAGAAGATAGAGTGATGGGTTCAAAATGGTCAAATAGAGCTACAGATTGAGGTGGGATGGATGGGTCATGAGTTGGAGGGGAAATGAGAGCCCGGATGGTCGCATTTTTTTCAAAAAGAAATGTAGGAAGTTCTCACACAGCTCAGTCAAGGCTTCCAGAGGTGATGGTTCAGTGAGGTGGAGAACAGAGTTTAGGGTAGAAAAGAGGACACGTGGGTTGTGAGAGTTTGAGGTTATGATATCAGAAAAGTATTTGGATTTAGCAGCTTTTTCTGCTTTCTGATAACGGCACCAACTCTCTTTAAGTATTTGAAAAGAGACCTGCAGCCTGTCTTTCCTCGACTTGCGCTCCGCCCTCCTGCACTGCTGCCTAACGGCCTTGGTGACGTCATTCAGCCAAGGTTCTGCTATGAGTTTTGATTTTTTAGTTTTAACAGGAGTGGCATGATCCAGAGTCTTTAAGCAGACAGAGTTGAACTGGGATGTCAGCTCCTCAGTGGTGGTGAGAAACACCGGGGGCTGAATGATCATTTCAGAGTTATAAACATCAGTGAAACGTGCAGTAGTGAAGTGGTTAATGGCCCGGCTACTACGTGCAGGAACGCACGGCTTAGGAGTTAGATGGGGGAAGGTGAACTTAAACCGGACTGGCATATGGTCTGAAAAAACATTATCACCAATTTCAAGATTACTAACAGTCACATCACGAGTTAAAACAAAGTCCAGTGTATGTCCGCTCTCTCGGGTGGGACCGTTTACATGCTGAGTTAGATTAAATGAATCCAACAAATCTAAAAAGTCCTTAACCAAGGGCTTCTCCTGACAGCACACATGCAAATTAAAGTCCCCAATAATGAAAACATGATCATATTTTGGTGTGATTTCAGCCAAGAAATCAGAAAACTCATTTATGAAATCCTTAGATCGAGGTTGGCGGTAGACGAGTGCACATAAAGTCTGAGGTGAATGTCCGAGTTCAAAGATGCTCAGCTCAAAGCTGGCGCGGGAAACTGGGATGGGCAGTTATTTACAGTCAAAAGTTGATTTGAATATTGTTAATAATCCTCCACCACGCCAGCCTGATGGCCGCGGTGTGTTCAAATACAGACAGTTTGGTGGAATTAATTCCGTCAAGGCGCTGGACTCACCCGGAGACATCCAAGTCTCTGTGATGCAGAAAAAGTCCAAATAGTACTCTTGAAAGTAGTCCCTGAGGATAAAAGTTTTGTTGGTAACAGATCTTGCGTTGACCAAATACATCCGGATACTGTCCAAAGTGGACCCAGCAGCGGTGGAGAGAGCGCGCGCCAGTGGCCGCAGATTTTCAGTAACGCCCCCTACGGGTCGGCCCATGTGCCGCACCAGCCGACAACTCCCGTTGTTTACCTGGTCCGGGCACACGGGAAGCTGGCGATGGAAACCATGATCATCAGCTGGAAAGGAAGATGCAGTGAGCAGGCCTTTAAGCTTTACCAGCCACCCAGCATGTTTTCCCCGGGGGGGGGGGGGGGGGGGTCCAGTGGTACGCTCATTATGATCTAAATAAGCGACATCGGCGGCAGAAAAACGACGATCCAGAAGCTGTTGTCGGTCATACACCAGTAGCGAGTTTATGTCCCACATGAAAAACGAACAAAACACAAATAATCCGAACACCATTAGCAGAGGTGGATTGCAAGCCATGTACACGGGCGCCATCTTTCCGGAAGACCGGTATTTATGACCCATGACACATCCACAATATGTTGATGGTTATAGCATTAGCAGACTGTGGCTGCATGAGATTGACGTGATAATAATATGTCATTAAAGTCACCACCTTTCATCAGAATGACTTAATCAGGGAACAGGAGCCATAAATAAATATACTGTCATTTGGTTGCATTACACTGAATTCTTAAATATATCATCATGTTGTCTTTAAGCTATTTCTCACTTCTTTTAGCAACAAACACACTCATGGAGCCCTGCAGACACAGAGTAAAACTATCATCTCCAGCTCCACTCACCTCCAAAGGGGGTAAATGAACATCTTCTCAGCCTGGAGAAGATAAAATACTGCAATGATTTTCTGCCACGAGCACTGCAATATTCTATTATTTCTTTGTTTATGTCATGCTGTGATGATGATAGGAGTGTTTAAATGTAATGATTTTCATATATGTCAAATAGTCTAAATCAGACCCAACAAATAACCAGGCTTTGTGTTTTGGTTCTCTCTGCAGGTTGGCTGTAAGGTTCTGCACTTCTTCCACATGTACATGCTGGGTTGCAACTATTTCTGGATGCTGTGCGAGGGTATCTATCTCCATACACTCATTGTGGTGGCTGTGTTTGCAGAGGAGCAGCATCTGCACTGGTACTACCTCTTAGGCTGGGGTGAGTTAAAGGCTGTGGATTTTCTTTACCTTTTAAATTGTATCAGCTGTTGTGCATTCCTACAGGATTTCATTCTGAGCTGAACTACATGGGAGTTTGAAAACTCCCAGGAAGTGGTGGAACAACGGGGAACACAATCTGGCGATATAATTGCAACCACCCGCTCCACACACAGCATGTCAGTGTGGACACGCTGACAGCTTTATAGACCTTCCTGTGGCTTTATGCTGCTCCTGACCTGGTTTCTGCAGCCTGTATGAAACAGGAGTAATTGTCTGCAAAACAAGCAAGCCATAAAATGTTAAAGGGATAATAAAAACTTTACAACTTCAAAACCTGACTCGTGTGGGTATCAATGCATGTGTGGGTGTCTTGTCTGTGTACATGGGACGAAGTCAATTTGTCTTGTCCTTCTGTGGCTGACTTGGTGCAGAAGCTCACTGGGGTGTGAAGGAATAACAATATTTTTGTGTTTTCCTGTCAAGAAAATAAGAAAAACTCTGAGCTCAGGTCCCTCCGGGTGTTTTACAGTCAACAAGCATTGTTAGATTAGTTTAAGTCAGAAAATTGCTTGTGTGGCTGAAAAGTGAAAAAAATTAATTTGCTGAAAACAAATGTATTTGTTGATTTAAAAGAAAAGTACTCAGAGATATGACTGAAGTAACCAAAGTTTAAAACTAATAGATAAGGCTGATGCGCGAATGATAAAAGGAATTTCACCTCATATGGCCGTCTTGTCTTGTTTAAGGCTTTCCCCTGGTGCCTGTGTCCATCCACGCCGTGGCGAGGAAAAAGTACTTTGATGACAAGTGAGTAATGTTCCAGAAACTTGTCTAAATAAACAGGAGATGTTTGCACATGTGCAGCCCAACGAGAGCGTGCCGATCCATGCGCACATGTGTTTTCTCACGTGTGTGTTCGTGTGTATTTTGGGCGGCAGACAGTATTGACGGATTCATTTTTCCTTCTGTAGCTGTTGGATGAGTGTGGAGACCCATCTGCTCTACGCAGTTCATGGGCCCATAGTGGCAGCACTTCTCGTGAGTCTGCAGACCCATTTATTTATTTATTTAATTTTTCTGTTAAAAAAATGGATCTCAGACAGAAAAATCTGGTCATTGTTCACAACTTTTGGAGCAAAAATGCCTTTTTTTGCTTAACTTCCTGCAGGTGAATCTATTCTTCCTGCTGAATATCATACGAGTGTTGGTCACCAAGCTGAGAGACACGCACCGGGCCGAGTCCAACATGTACATGAAGGCAGTGAGAGCCACCCTGATCCTGGTGCCCCTGCTGGGAATACAGTTTGTCATTTTTCCCTGGAGGCCAGAGAACCGGATGGCGGGCGAGGTCTACGAGTATGTCATGCACATACTCATGCACTACCAGGTACTGAGCCACATTCATTTAAACTACAATTAAATAGTGAGGTAGAGTAGAAGCTTGGCTCGAAGGTAATTCACTATACACCATGTAACATATATGATTAAAATGATGGCAGGAGTTCAACTCTGTTAGCAAAATATCTCATGTACCACAGAGGAGATTTAATGAAACTGAAAGTAATCATTGTCCAACTCATTAACGTTTAGTCAGTTTTGAGATGGTCGCCATGGGTAATGGACTTCAAACATAAAAATGAATAGAACTCAGTCAATGTTACACACAATGAGCTATACTTTGGTGTGGTAGTAGCTGAGAGTCATCCACAACACACAGTCTGGATGCTAATAGGCTGCTCAAGATCTTGCATTAGATTGCACATAATGCTATGTTTAGGATTTGATCAGACTGGCTCTAACTTCATCATCTCCAACAGAAAAGGTCTAGCTCTAACATTCTTTCAAGGAATGCTAGGTTTTAATTTCAATAAGCAGAGTTTAGAATGACTGATGCAATTTAGTGTTAAATTACCCTTCAAATAATGTTTAGATACATCATTAAACAGCAAATTCACTAACAAAGTTAGCTCATCTTAATACCAAAATATAATTCCAAACTGAAATCATGTTAATAAAAGACCTTTCTTTGTTTTTACAGGGTTTACTGGTAGCAACGATATTCTGCTTTTTCAATGGAGAGGTAAGGATTGTTCATGCATTTACATCTATAGAATGATTCCACTCTTTGGAGAATTAGATGAGAAGGATGATGTAACTCCCATGCCTGTAAGCTAGAAATAGAGCTAAATGGTAAGAAGAGTTCATGGGGAGGAACTGCATGAAAACAAAAAACAAAAAGGCAGGAAGGTACAGGCAACCCAAAGATGACACATTCTGAGGCTGAAATAAACCAAACCCCAGAAGAATATCTTCTTCGTCTTCTTCTTTCCACTTTTTCCTCTTCAGGGGTCTCCACATCCTCCTCCATCTCTGTCCTCTGCATCCTCTGTCCTCACTCCAACAACCTCCATGTCCTCTCTGACTGCATCCACATATCTCCTCTTTGTCTTTCTTCCAGAAGAATATAAGCTGCAAAAATCAAATAAAGCAGGAGAGAGATGAGAGACGAGATAAAGTTCAATGGCCAGATAAAACAGACAATTCAGAAAAAATAGAAAGCAAATCACAGCTTCTACAAAGATTAAGAAACGTATAAAACTGTGTGATACCAGTGCTCATGTTTCATGAATTACAAAGGGAGTGACTAACAGCGCCCACAAGCAACAATGTTTTTTTAACTTTACTTTTTATGTATAGGAGGTTTAAAAATAAATAGTAAGATTGGTGTTCATTTTCTGTTAAACTGAATTTTAATTTTTTTTTAAATAAACCATTTTGTTGTTTCTGCTTTCATTCATAAGCTTCATGCTTCTTTCAGTCTGTTATCTTTCAGCTGTTGAAAAGTCAAGTCAAGTCAACTTTATTTATAGAGCACATTTAAAACAGAACCTGTTATCAAAGTGCTTAACACCAACAACAATCAATGAGTAAATTAAAGAGAAAAATATATAAACATAT